TGGAGTAGAGAGCCTTTAATAGTGGTAGTTTTAGGGACTTAAGGATCAGGCAGCTAAGCCCTCAGTGAATCCTTTTTAACATTACATTTGCATTATTTTAGCTACCAATTTTGCTGTTCAAATGTACATAGCATTGTCTGTTGAACAAGTTATTACACGTGATTTGATTTGAATCAATTTTATGGAGTTTATTCAAATTGCATATTCTAACTCACTTTAACTTTCACTGCTAGTTTAACTGGCATGAAAGTCTACTAGGGCATTTACTTAATAGGGCCAATCATATTAACATGAGCTTCAATTTTTATAACAGTGACCTGCAAATGTATCAGACTAACAGAGAAAAGCTCATCCACCTGGGGTCCATTCTTGATGGAGGTCCCACTAGAAGTGAGAAACTTTTCCACAGCATGATAAATTCATGGACAAATCCAAAGGCATACAAACTATCTGTGTAATGTTTACTGATTTATTTGTTCTGTGTGACAAGTCTAAGAGTGTATAACTTGGGCAAGAGCATATAGCTCTGTATGTTGGGCTGACTTGAATTACTAAAGAATTCCCCTCTTCTCTATTAGTTCATATTGAGCTGTTACAGCATACCCTGGTTAGTTTTCCTTTTTATATGTTTGGTTTAAGCTCCATCACCAAAACTGTTAGTTCTGAATTTCCTAATGGAGTTTCTTGTAAATCTGTGTGAAAAATCAACAGCTGTGACACCACACTTAGACAGTCATGGTCTTCACCACATCAGGGAAGGGCAACAAAGGGTTAAGCAGATCACATTTGAGATTGAGATTAGACAGAAAACAAATTTCATAGTCTGCTTGATGAAAAATGTGTTTGATCAGAACTTTAAAAGCTTTCAACAGTGCGTAGAACTTAGACATTTGGTTCCTTTCCTAACACCAGTTTAGATGATGTTTCCACCATTTTAGCTTCTCTTACAATTGCTTTTAGAAAATTTGGATACACTTTAGCCACTGGGTCTAACTGTAGGCTATAATAAACAATGGGTGTATGTTTTCAAACACATTTTTGAGAAGGACTCCTAAAGCTTCATTTCACACTTTGAACAAGGCAAAAAGTTTGGTATAATTTGGGAGTACTAAACATGGAGGTTGTTGTAGAGCCATTTTTACTGGAATAAAAAGTTTTTCATGATTATCTTTCCATGACAAGGGCATGAAATTTTTTTTTGTACGTTCACATAAAGGGAAAGCCAGCAAAGAAAAATTTGGAACCTAAGAACCACAGTATCCTGAAAGTTCAAGGAAATCTCTTAATTGTATCTTGGTTGTGAGTATAGGGAAATCTTGCATAGTTTTTATCCTTTTGTTTTAGAAGGAAATTCTCTCTGCAGTTACATCATGTCCCAGATAATGAAATTTCTTTTAGAAAACAAATTATTCTATGGAGGCCTTCTTGACTTTGGAGGCTAGTTGTTGTACAAGATAAGACTGAATCTATTTCAGAGCCCTCTCTGGTAGGGGAACATAAAAATAAATCACCCACATATTAAAGGAGTGGAATTTTTCAGGAGCTGAAAGGTTGTCAGGTCTTGATATCAACTCAGAGCCTGGGAGAAATAAAATGGGTCTTCCATGAACCTCTGTGGCATGACAGTCCAAGTAAACTGCTGACTTATAAAATGGGTCTTCCATGAACCTCTGTGGCATGACAGTCCAAGTAAACTGCTGACTTGTCCAAGTAAAGGCAAACAAGTATTAATTGTCAACTAGAATACTAAAGAAGGTAGAACAGTGATTTACCTCTGTGAACCATGTAGTAGAATTTGTGGGCACTTTTTATAGCAACAAAGTGGCAGAATTTAAAACCACAGGAACTCTTAGGATTACAATTTTGTTTAGTGTACTTGAATCCTGAACAAATCACCAATTTTCCATTTTTTTTATTGTCAAAATTGGAGTATTAAACAGACTACACAAGGGACTGTATAGTCCTTGTTTAATTAAGTCCTCCAAAATTGGTGAAAGTTCCCAAATTGCCTCCACTTTTGGTGGCTATTCCAGCAGACTTACTGGACAGGACCACACAGTTGGAAAACCTGGACATTTTTTCTTAGGTGAATCCAAAGTACCGGTAGAACTTTATTGACTCTGTAAATTTAAATGTTTGTCTTTACTAGTTTAGTGTTTCTGTAGGATTATTTTGTGGGGGGGCAGTGTACATTTACAGTTAATCAGTTATTCTCTATTATTAACAAAAATGGTTTGGAACTTGGTTTGTTCTTTTAGTTGTTGGTTTTTTTTTTTAAAGCTCATTTTATTGAGGTTAAATTCACACTACGTGAAGCTCATCATTTTAACTATTTTTAAGTGTGCAATCCAACAGTACTTGGTGTATTTACAATGTTGTGAAAGCATTACCACTATCACATTTCAGAGAATTTCATCACCGCCCCCCGCCCCAGCCCACACAAAATCCCAGCATAGATTAAGGAATTGGTCCCCAGGAATTGGTCCAACTGCCAGCCTCTGGCAACCAGTAATGTAAGTCATTTCTCTATGGAACTGTTTATCCTGGACTTTTCAAATAAATGTAATCATAACATATATAACCTTTTATGTACTGGCAATAATTGAATCAAACTTGGGTTATTAAACACTTACTTTATATGTAAAGTCTTATGGTATATAAATTTGCCTCTCTAACAGCAGGGGAGGGTGGCTTATGCCTGACACCTCACATAGACAAATATGGGTTCTGACAAAGAAGTTCTCCCTCAGATGAGGGAGGCTTGTGCAGCATCATGTCGGGGTGTGAGAAGCAGGAGAATGCAGGCAAGGGCAGAGTATTTGCTCCTGTCTTACCTCCAGACCAGTCTCTAACCAGTAGGTTTTAAGACTACCTGATTAATGCTTCCTCCCCCACCATGTGGTGTGAATGAGGCCCCAAGGGGTCCAGGCATATATGACATAGATATTCAATGAACACATGAATAATGTTCCTCATTTGGGATATGCAAAGAAAAACCTCAGAATGAGATATCACTTCACTTTACCTTAATTAGGGTAGTTGTATTCAAAAAGGGAGATAATAAGTGTGGGTGTGAACTTCAAGAAATAGGAACCGTCACAAAGCACTGGTGTTGATAAAAAATGATGTAGTCAGCCGGGCTCGGTGGCTCAGCCTGTAATCCCGCGCCTTTGGGAGGCTGAGGTGAGTGGATTGCCTGAGCCCGCGGGTTCAAGACCCGCCTGGGCAGCGAGACCTCATCTCTACAATAAATCAAAAAATCAGCCGGGCGTGGTAGCGCATGCCTGTAATTCCGGCTACTCGGAAGGCTGAGGCGGAAGGATCGCCTGAGCCCAGCAGGTTGAGGCTGCGGTGGCCGGGAGCGGCCACTGCACTCCAGTCTGGGCGACAGAGTGAGACTCCAACTCAAAAAAAAAAAAAAAAAAAAAATGATGTAGTCACTTTGGAGGAAATTTTGGTAATTCCTCAAAAGAGTAAATAGAGTTGTCACATGAGTCAGCAATTTTACCCCTAGGTATACACTCAAGAGGAATGAGCCTGTGTCTGCACAAAAATGTATATACAGATGTACATAGAATTATCCATAATAGCCAAAACATGGAAACAACCCAAATGTCTGTCAGTGAATGAGTATGCATCATATCCATACAACAAAGTATCACTCAGCTGTAAGAAGAAATTAAATACTGAAATATGCTACAAAATGTATGAACACTGAAAACATTATACTCAGTGAGGACCCCAAAGAAACTCAATTTATAAAAAGTTGTGTGTTCTTACATGTTTAAACTTAAGTCATCTTCAAAATACTGTCTGTTTGATGCACTACACCTATCAAGATGCTTTTTTCCACTGCTCAGTTTTCGATGCCTTCTAGTGCATCTGCCATTTTTTGTTTCACTTTTTCCACATTGACAAAACATTTCCCTTTGAGAACTTTTTTCATCAGGGGAAACAAAAATGCTGCTGGGGCAAGACTGTATAAATAGAGAGGGTGGGGCATGGGGGGGTCATACTGTTTTTGGTCAAAAACTTTACACTCAGTGCAGTGTGGGCAAGTTGTTCAAGTAAATTATCCATCAAGAAATAGACAAACACACTGAAATAATCTCCAAAGAAAATTTCACTGAAGCTGAACACAGCCTCTCACAACAATGCTAGCTGGTACACTGATGCTGATGGGTTCCTAGAACACTTACCTAGTAGGGGAAGCCTGTACAAGAAGAAGTCACACTCCAAAAACTATTTCCAGGTTTTTTTGCCCCATCCTTGTATATACCATTAATATAGTTAGGATATATAATTTTGTGTTCTATATGTACTAGGATCCATTCAATGTTACTATCTAATTGACCCAAATCTGTTTAAAATTGCATAAAAAACTAGTTTGACCAACATATTCAGTAGCAACACTTACTGCTTACATTTTTGACAGTACTGAGCTTAATCTTATTTATTACAAAATTCTGTATTCAATACTCCCAGGTCACTTCAGAATTGGACATTTTATCCTACAGATTTCTAGTAGCAGATCTTTGCTCAAAGTTAAGAGTTTTATGCTCAATTATATGCTCAATGGCTTTCTCCCCAGTCAGACATTTCTGACATGAAATCCACCTGAAAGTTTTTCCTTTCCATGTCAGGATTGTTTTCTCCTCAGTGGAGGAACATTGATATTGACTAATGAATGAGTAAGTAACTGCAGACTTTCCTTCATTCATGACACTGAGAATGTCTTTTACCATGTGAATCTTGATCTATTCTACAAACGTTGCTATATTTTAGGATTTCTCATAATTTTTCATTGGATAACTTCACTACAAATATCTGGAATTGCTCAAGAGATCTCATCTACCTTGTAAAAATTTTTTTCATTTATTTCCTCTTTTATCTGTTACCCTACACCAAATTTTCTTGTGTACACCAAATCTAGTGCCTGCTAAATAAGATTGCACAGACATAGGGTTTCTCTCCTGTAGATTTTACTCATTTGTTTAAAGGGCAAATTATAAATAAAAGCATTTTCACATTGATGGCAGGCACAGAATTTATCTGATATGTGATTTCCCCTGGTGTTTAACAGAGTTGCAGGTGAAGATTTTCCACATTTAATTCATTTATAGTTTATCTCATGGCAATATATGGTCAGTCCTGCGTCTAAAGTTTATGTCATATAGATAACATATACATAGATCCTCTCCAATTTGAATTAATTTAGGATGTATCAAGTTGTAGTGATAGATAAAGGATTTTCCACACCAGTTATAGACATAATGTTTCCTCAGTGTTTTAGTCCTCTGGAGTATTTAGGGATTGAAACTAAGGCTGATGAACTTTAAAGATTTATTACTTTTTTAGTGTGAATTCTCTCATGTTGTCTAAGGTTAAAAATTTTACTAAAGGCTTTCCCACATAGAGAACATACATATGGTTTCTCTCCGGTATGAACTCTCTTATGAAGTCTAAAGTTATAACTTCTGTTGAAGGCTCTTCCACATATGTTGCATTCATATGGTTTCTCTCCAGTGTGAGTTCTCTCATGTCGTCTAAGTACAGAAGAATGATTGAAGGCTTTTCCACATAGATGGCATTTATATGGTTTCTCTCCTGTGTGAGTTCTCTGGTGTCGCCTAAGGTCAGAAGATTCAGTGAAAGCTTTCCCACATACATGACAGTCATATGGTTTTTCTCCAGTGTGAGTTCTCTCATGTCGTTTAAGCACAGAAGATTCAGTGAAGGCTTTCCCACACAGATGACACCCATGTGGTTTCTCTCCACTGTGACTTCTTTCATGTTGCCTAAGGTGAGAACGCTGGGAGAAGGCTTTTCCACAAAGATGACATTCATATGGTTTCTCTCCACTGTGAGTTCTCTCATGCTGTCTAAGATAGGAACATTTACTGAAGGCCTTTCCACATAGATGACATCCATATGGTTTCTCTCCAAAGTGAGTTATTTCATGTTTTCTAAGGTCAGAGCAATAAGTGAAAGTTTTCCCACATAGATGACATACACGTGCTTTCTCTCTAGTATGAATCATCTCATGTCGTCTAAGGTTAGAACTTTTACTGAAAGCTTTCCCACATAGATGACATCCATAGGGTTTCACTCCAGTGTGAGTTCGCTCATGTTTTCGAAGATCAGAGCAATGAGTAAAGGCTTTGCCACATAAATGGCATTCATGTGGTTTCTCTCCAGTGTGAATCATTTCATGTCGTCTAAGATTAGTACTTTTGCTGAAGGTTTTCCCACACACATGACACTCCAATGTTCTCTCTCCATTGTGAGTCTTACTATGTTGTATAAGGGCAGAACTTTGACTAAAGGTATAGCCATATAGATGACTTCCATATGATTTATATCTAGCATTAATTTCCTTACGTTGATTAAAGGATGACCAGTCACAGAAGGCTTCCTCAAACTTTCTGCTTACACAGGGTTTTTTTCCTATGTGACTTATCAGTTTTTGAGTCAATGTTATATGTTCATTGAAATCTTCTCTCAAATCATTACATTCAAAAGAATCCTCTTGAGTATGAGATCTCTGCTTTTAGGAAAGAAATGAAAGACTATTAAAGGTTTATCCACATTCAATCATTTCTTCATTTGTTTCTCTACATATTAATTCTACAGTAATCACTCAGTAGTAGAATACAGTTACAATTGTTCCTGTGTTATATAAACATGGTATATTACCTAACAGCATGCATAGTTTTCTCTGTTGAAGCATACCAACTGAAGAGCTATCTGACTGGTTTTAAGACTTTATTATGTTTCAAAGTTTAGGTACATAAGTCATATTTTATAATTATCTTGTTTTAAAACCTCATGTTATGATTTTTACTTTAAGTTAATTTTTTCCCTCAATTCAAACTAACGAAAACTTTCTGTTGGGACAGCCCTTGATCCTAACATTAAATACAGTCAGGTACCTGTTCAAAATTCTAAACTGATTCCATTTCCAGGTTTCTATTTGGAACAGCAGTTCACACTCCTAAAGCTTACCATGGTGCCAATGGTGAATGCATCCTTTTGATAGATAAGATGCACGGATGTCATTTCTTGTTGTTTAAGGTTACCTTCCTCACCTGAAATGATTGAAAAAAATAATGCTAGATTGCAAATGGGGAATGAAAAATGTTAAACACCACCAATGTCCATTTGATTGTGTTTCAAATATTGACGCACAGACAGGGAAAGAATGCTAAATTAAGGATACTCTAGGAAGAGGCATATTTTAGGGCATTGACAATGGATAGTTTCAGAATACAAAAAAAAATAAGTTGAAAGAAGGTAAATTTGAGTGGCAACAAAAGGAAAATTTTCAATGACGTAAACCATGATAAGGGCTATAAACTTCAATAAGTTTACTCCAATAAGCACGTGAATTTCCTCTTCACTAAAGCCAAAGCCAAAGACAATGAGAAAGAGATACTTGAATAGACAGTGATACCTGCAAGGCAAAATGACAACAACTTAGAAATTTTTTCCTTATGTCTTTGCCTACATTTCATCTTATTTTTTTAAGAGATGGGGTCTTGCTATATTGCCCAGACTGGTCTCAAATTCCTGGCATCAAGAGATCCTCCTGCCTAGGCCTCCCAAAGTGCTGGGGTTATAGGCCTGAGACACGACACCTGGCTATCTTTGCCAACATTTCAGAAAACAATATTCGTTTAAAAAAATCTTTACTTGATAACTCTTAGGGCCTACTCACTTACTGACTATGTTCCTCTTCCTTCTACTAGAGTACTGCTTCTTGGAGCTCACCTGGATTCTGACCTTGCAGAAAACTTATTTCTTCTCTTGAAAGTTCCTCTCCTTGCTCCAAATGGGAAAGCACAACTGATTTGCAGGGCTGTTTGCCTGTTTGTGGGAAAAAGATAGGTGGATTTTGAGTTTTCTGCTGATAAGAGTACATGGCCATAAAGGACAGGATAGACTACTGAGGAAAAATATTAACCACTGAAGGGCAGCCTGAGAATACCTTGAAGACAACAGTAACAGTCCATCATTAGCAAAGGGAAAGCTCTTGAACCTTTTCCCAGAGACGTTACATACCTATAATTGCTAATGGTTATGCCTAACATCAAAGACAGATTGCAGAATCCTCAGTATTTTCAATCAGTGAGAAACTACAAATTTTCATAGTATATTACATTTAAAAAATCCAATCAACACAAGCTGCATCAAAACAATCTAAGTGATGTGCAGAACAATCCCTACAACAGAATAATTATTTTTAAAAACATCAACATATTTATTTATCTGCTCAAAACCAGAATTCCCACCACAGTTCTGAGTGTTGAAGATTGGATAACAAGAAGGACATGAAATTGTGGTCAGAAAGATTATATTCTAGTGAGATGACAATATAACTGAAAAGCAAAGAAACAAATTGCTGTTGATAGTTATGAAAGGATCAAGACAGAGGCTGAAATGATAGGTGGGAAAGCTGTCCTAGATATGAGGCCTGATAATTAAGTTATTGCTGTTGATAGTTATGAAAGGATCAAGACAGAGGCTGAAATGATAGGTGGGAAAGCTGTCCTAGATACGAGGCCTGATAATTAAGTTCACGAACTCATCACAGAGAAAGTGCTACATACCTCATTGTTGAATCACTACAGTCACCTTCAAAGTACTCCCCTTGGGAAGCTATGCACCAACACCAGTGCCTAGTTACCTGTTAAAGAAATTTTGTGAATTTTGCAGCAACCTGGATGGGACTAGAGTCTATAATACTGAGTGACCTCTCACAGAAACAAAGATCTGAGTATCACATGTTCTCACTCATATAGTGGAGCTTGAACATCTATCATAATACTATAAGAAAAGGATTGACAGTGGTGGGAAACTATGGGGGGAGGGAGGGGAAGGGAGGTGGAATTAACGGTAGTCAATATCTGTCTGGGGATGGGGAGACACCCCTTATCAACAAGGGTGCCTGAACGATGCATATTTGTATACTTAACCCTTAACTGTACCCCACAATTTTAAAATAAAAAATATTGATTTAAAAAAATAAATAAATTTTGGAACTTTTTTTTGGACCGATCATCAGAGCTGCTGTCATATTACCTTTGATGTCCTAAATGTAATCAAATTGTCTTCCTTTCAATATTTCCTTTATCTTAAGGTAAAGGATACAGTCATTGGGGGCCAGATCAGATTAGTAGGGAGGATGTTCCAATATAGATATTTGTTTACTGGCTAAAAACTCCCTCATGGATAGTGCTGTGTGAGCTGGTGCATTGCCATGATGCAAGAGCTCCTTCAGGACCATTTTTGCATACACCTTTCTCATGCCAAGATTTTCAGTTAAGATTTTTCTAACTGTTTCTCTATTGATGTCTAATTGGTCTGCTATGCTTCTCACAGTCAGCCGATGATTTTGATGCATAATTCAACAAATTTTGCAATGTTTTCATCAGTTCTGCTTATGACTAGTCATCCTGACCTTGTTTCATCAGTGACGCTTTCTCTCCTCTTAGAAAAATGTTTAATTCATTTATACACTGTTGTTTTCTTCATGGCATTATCCTCATAAACTTGTACTAACATGTCCACCTCCACTTTTGTCAAGTTTAACAGGAAATTTAATGTTTGTTCATTGCTCTCATTCAAACTCTGACATTATTGCAATGACAGCTCTGACAGCTTTTCCAGAAAAAGGTTCAAAATTGCTTTGATGCGTGGACAATGTGTTGGTATTGGTGCATAGCTTCTCAAGGGAGGTACTGCAGAAGTGACTATAATGGCCAGGCTCGGTGGCTCAGCCTGTAATCCCAGCACTTTGGGAGACCAAGGTGAGTGGATTCCCTGAGCCCATGGGTTGAGACCAGTCCGGTCGACTTGGTGAAACCTCATCTTGACAATAAATAAAAAATTAGCTTGGTGTGGTAGCATGCACCTGTAGTTCTGGCTGTTTGAAAGACTGAGGTGGAAGGATTGCTGGAGCCCAGCAGGTTGACGCTGGGGTGGCTGTGAGCATGCCACTGCACTCCAGCTTGGGTGGCAAAGTGAGACTCTAACTCAAAAAAAAAAAAGTGACCATAGTGATATTCAGCAATGAGACTGCAGCACTTTTTCTAGGATAAGTTTGTGAACTTGGTTGTCAGACCCCATATTTGGTAGAATTAATCAATAAAAATACATGAATGAAGACATAACTATTAAGAGACTCACCAATAGAGACCAGGTGACTAATGTTCTCCAGCATCACATCTCTGAACAGCTGTCTCTGGGATGTGTCCAGCAGGGCCCACTCTTCCTGAGTGAAGTCAACAACTACATCCTTGAATGTCATGGGTTCCTAAAACATTATGTACACTCTGCTTCAAACAGGGCAACTTCTGCCAATGTTCAGCATGGCACAAACTGACAGTACTAAGGAAGTGGGAGTGGTATGACAGAAAGATCCATGTTTGAGGTTCCAGTCACAGTCTGACCTGGGAATATGACTTTCAGATATACTCAGACATAAAACTTCACATAAAGAAATACCACATGTAATGCAGCATAATATAACCTGAAGATTTCCGAATAAATTTTGGTTTCAAGATACTAATTATAAAACTTGCACTTGGAAATTTATAATTAAAATTCTCCTCTCCACTAACTTCAAGTAAACCCACAGACTCATCACAAGGCAAGAAGTATTCATTATTTGTCACATTTTAATCACGACTATAGTTACATATTCTCCTAATGGACGTCAGGTTCTTCATGAATAAAATAAAGACCTATTAAGAGTTCCCAAAGATCAAGTGAGGTAATATGTAAAAGGGCTCCTAGCTATTAAACCTTTTTTGATGCCATTCACAGGTATACTATTCATTACATGACGGTGAATATTAAAGCAATGTTCAGGATTCTGCAGACTGAACAACTTTCATACTGAACTTAGCATCAGCAGATGCAGCCTCTCATCTCCACACAACTGAGGTGTTCATTATAACAGATAAGGATATGTGGTTCAGCAGCACAAGCCAGGGGCTCTACGACTTCTATACTGATAGACAGTCTCATCCTGACCCTTCCCATGGTCTTAAGACTCCCTTTCTCAATTTTCTGAGATCTTTAAACATCAGGTATCTTTGTCTCTTTTGTCTCTTCACCTTGTCTCTCTACATTCAGAGGGGAAAAAAAACAAACAGACCACTACCACCAACAAAAGTCTTTGATTATTCTAGTGTCTCCACTTCAAAATTTTTCCAGGGGCCCTAAATTTACTCTTTTCCCAATACCCCTTCACCTATATGCATGGTCAAAATTCAGGAAACAACACTTTATACAATAATTCCAGTTATCGAACTTGAACAAAGGCTAATTTTGGTCAAGGGTAAATAAGAATTTTAGTTTTCTTCTTTGAAAGTTTTTCAAAAACCACAAATATACTCTGTCAAAACCTTAATATTTTTAGGTAGAGAAAATAAATAATTCCTCATTGTCCTCTCTGGCGATACCCCTATCTGCTTTTCCTTCAATGCTATATAGCCCGACCCCAGTACCTGAAACACTAAACTGATTGAGCTTGTCTGGGAAAACAACTGCCTCCCTACAGGCTGTGATATTCTACTCTCACTCATCTTTACCACCTGTACTCACTAAGCCCACACCTTCCAATAATATGGTTAATGAATGAATTATTTACCCAAACAGGCCACGGGCTGGATGAAAGAAACAAAGCCTCTGGCATCTCTTCTGTGAATATGTAGCCTCAGTAGAGGCTGGAATACCTTAATGTCATGTTGAAAGGAGATTACTTCTTGCGGAGTCACTGAGCCAATGTGACTATTCCAGAGTCCTGGGGTATCTTAACTAGGGCTCAGATCCTGGTATTGCTCTGAGTGAACTGAGAATATCCATGCTAATAGGAAAAACCTGTCCATAGGCTGGCAACAGGGGTACAATTTCAGTAGAAAGAGGAATTCCCCACTCACCAGTGACTGCATTGTACTAGTTCGGCTGCCAATTGTATCACTTGGGGTTTTCTCTCACACAGTCCAAGCACTAAGGAGGCAAATCTGAGGAAGAAGAAAGAAACCATGACACTCCAATTGTATCTACAATCTCTAGACCCACATGTCCCAAAGCCCTGGTCTGTCATTTAAAAGTAGCCCTAGTCCAGTCAAGAGAGATATGCATAGTTTGCTCTAAAAGGAATAGAGATGGCCTCTCATCTTCCAGGTTTACAAGACAATGACTATTGTTGCTACTAAAGAAGATATAAATACCTTGATTTTTAGAGATAGGAATGTGAAAATCATTGACTTTTATATTCTAATTAGCCCATGGAATTCTGATGTTTTCAATTCCCTCCATGATTTCAAATCATAAGGAACCCTGACTCATGCCACCTGTAAATGGGATCGCCACCTTCATAAAAACACTGGAGTTTCTCAGATTTAATTATGGGCTTTGCACTTGTGGGCTTTATCCAACATCATCCCAGCACTGTGGAGCCTCCCTCCAAACCCCCTCCCTTGCTCCCACCATGTCTGGATACACTTGTTCTGAATCATGATACCTCCTTTACATGAGGTTTCTACCAGTATCACTCCCTCAGCCCTGACTTCTATGTTTGTTCTAAATGGATTTGTTTATCAACCAAGCAACTTCAGATTCAATTTTATGATGGGATTAATCAATTCAGTGAATTAACTTACAAGAAATGCTAAAGGGAGTTCTTCAAGTTGAAATGAAAGGACATTAACTAACAACATGAAAACATGAATGTATATGTGATGTTATTTATAATAAGAAATACACAGTTTGGTTTTCATCCCAAGTTCCTAACAAATAGCCCATTCCTAATACAAAGACCCTAAAACTCTTGTAATTTCCTAAGCAACAGAGGTACTAGGAGAAGTTTTTGATCCTGAGACAGAGCTCCTAACACCTTGAAACTTCTTTGGTGACAGGAGTTTCTTTTGTTCTAATGAAGCTACTCTTGCTGGGCGCTAGCGTGGGGGATGATTACCTAAAAGACCAAGCCATGATTAAAAGCTATCCTCTGGGAAAGGGAGAGGGGCTAGAGAATGAGTTAATAGCTATTATGCCTATGAGATAATGACTTCATAAAAATCCCTGAACTATGGGATTCAAAGGCTTCCAGGTGGGTAAATAAGAACATATCCACATGCCAAAAGCATGGCATACCCCAACTCTATGGGAATAGATCTCCAAAATGTAGGGCCCTTCTAAACCTTGCCCTATGCATATCTTCAGCTAGCTGTTCATCTGTAATCTTTAAAATATTGTAATAAATCAGCGATATTAAGTAAGTCATTTTCCTGGGTTCTGTGAGCTCCTTTAGCAAATCAAGCCCAGAAAGGGGTTACAGAAGTCCCCAATTTGTAGCCAAGTTGACAGAAGTTGTGTGCAATCTGGGAAAGAGCTACTTATGATCAGCACATGAATGAGGGCCAGTCTTGTGGGACTGAGTCCATAACCTGTAGGGCTTTGCAGTAAATCCAGTTAGTGTCAGAACAGAATTGCCTTTTAAGAAACCCAGTTGGTGTTAGAAAATTGGTCAGTGCAGGGATAAAAGAAACCCTCACACATTTGGTCACTAAAGCATTCTATATTGAGTACTGAGAGTAGAAGATGTATAGAGTTTATTTTTGTTTTTACAGTATAAAACTCATGGGAAAGGTAAGAATATAGTCATATTCAGAATACAGTAATGATGGCATATAAAGCACTCCTAACTCTAGTATAAAAGTTAAGACAACTGAGGTGGAAGGATAGCCTAAGCCAGCAGGTCAAGGCTACAGTAGCTGTGAATGTGCCACTGCACTCAAGCCTGGGTGACAAAGAGTGAGAATCCAACTCAAAAAAAAAAAAAAAATTAAAAGACAAGAGCATTCAAATAACTATACTATAATATAAATAGACGCATGATATATAAAAATATAAGTTGTAACATCAACAACAAAAAATATAGAGGGAGAAGAAGCAAAAATTTAGAGTTTTAAAATGCAGATATCAGCTCAAAACAGACTGTTATAAGATGTTTTATGTATGTCTTATGATAAAAGTAAAGAAAAATGCCTGTACTAGACATACACACACAAACACATACTGAATCAAAGCATACCACTTAATCATCAAATAACAAAGGAAGACAGTAGGAAAGAATGCAACAAAGCAACTACAAACTGTCAGAAAACAATGAATAAAATGACAATGTTGAATCCTAATATATCAATAATTACTTTACATGTAAATGAATGAATTTTTCCAACTGAAAGACATAGGATTAATAGATTTAAAAAAAATCAAACTATATGCTGCCACAAGAGATTCATCTTAGCTTTAAGGACATAGAAAGGATGAAAATGAAGGGATATTCTATGCAACTGGCAACAAAAGAGAGCAGGAGTGATTACACTTACTTGAGGGAAAAAAAAATAGACTTTACATGAAAAGGTTACTCTTAAAAGGTCAGCAGAATTATCCACATTCAATAATTGCATTTGCCTGATTTGCCTATTTAGGTGGAAAAATTGTGTTATAAAAGCATATCTTGATTAGATTTAACTTGACTGGTACCCAAGTTAATCATGGTGTGTCATTTGGATTATAGGACAGATGAGATTACCAACAGTTTAGAAAGAAAGCTCATCATCATAACAGTGCTTTTGCTAGAGAAAGAATCTGTGAGCTCTGTAGTGTGGTAACAGCATTCATCCTCACTGGTTTTCCATTTATTTGAGTTCTGATGAATACAGGAAATAATTTTAACCAGGAAGGATGAACTTCCTTTATTTTGTAAGTTCATTTTAGATCACGAGATAATGACTTAATCTGACTTGTGGCACTTGGGGACAGGCCATCTCCGAATAAGTCAGATTAATATAAACAGGCCATCTCAGAGCAAGTTAGATGAATATGAACACATGTTCCCTTTGAACTTGTAATTCATCACTAATGATCAAAGACTACTTTGAGACTACTCATCATAGTATTCAGGGGTTAATTTTTCTGTTATAAGATCAATGGGGAAGACAGATCAAAATTTAAAAACACAAGAACATTTACGATAGATCACAAGGATGGCATGAAGAGATCGTTGTAATTAAAGCAACAAAGAAGGAAAGGGGAGACTAACATTTGTTAGAGATCACTGAAGAATTCTAAGAAGAACTAACATTTCAAACAACGTTGACAGGAGTCTGAGGTGAGAGATTATGCATGTGGGTGGGCAGAAATGAAGGATTATCATATTATTCACTGGGAAATGATAGCAATGATTGTGTGATTCTAAGAGGGCATGCAAAACATTTGAGTCTATATACTGCTGGTACTTTCTGGCCTATGAGATTTTAAGGACTAGATTTAAAGAAGGGGGCCACATTTCTAACATGAAATAAATTATTTCACTGATATACCTCTTTTTTTTTCCAGTTAGTGAAATTTGATTATAAAACAAATTAAGTTCTTGGTTGATAGCCAATGACATAGGACAGACTAAAGTTAGAGTTAAGGAAATGGTATTGCTCAAAACCGCATATAGTGAAGCCAAGATGTTTGAAGACAAGTGTATTCTAGAGACAGGGGCAGGGTGGAAATTGGGAAGGGAATGAGGCTTCATATGGACACTGGATAACCAATGCTAGTGAATAAACCAAGAATAACTTTAATTCCACAGAGGTTTCCATGAAGGTGAACAACATGTACATGTGACATGAGTAAGGAGTCTTAGGTTTGAGGGTTGGGGAGAAAGAACTGAGGAATCCTTTGAGAGTCATGGGTTAATTAACACATAAAACACAATGATTTTAATTTACTTATATGTAGCCTGGAAATATTCCTGTCTACTTTATGAGTAGCACTAGTCAAAGTCATCATACTTTTAAAAGCAGGAGTGGAGAGATTGTTGTTTTCCCTCTAACTCAGAGTTTTCTGGTGGAACTTATGTTTATTAAATTCTTCTCGATATTAGGTTCAACCTGGAAACATGAATTGTTCCCATTCTGTCTCTAAGTGAGAGCATTAGCAACAGCAACCAGAAGCCATGGTGTGTATAGGTGCAAGATCAGACAGTTTTGCAGGTCTGGCAAAAGACCTTCAGTATGTAAATGTTCGTGATGCTCTTCTCTACTTTCTTCATGATTCCTTTCAATGTTCACATTTTTCACTCTTGGACGGCTACCCCTACCTTTGAGGATAATGCTTTGTTCTTAGTACATAAGCTGAAAATCATGTACCTTTTTTTCTATACCCAGGATATCAACTCTGCCCATCAGATGTGATTTCCTAATTGGAACCAGAAGAGATGTGGAATGAAGGAAATGGATTCCCCTATCAGACACATGTGGGTCAATCCAAGGAAGAGCCTGTCCAGTGAAGGAGCACGACCTCAGTAATATCAACTTCATGTTTTCTTGACTACTTCTGAAAAAGTAGAGTAAAATTGTGCCAGAGTTATTTAGATATCAATATTTATTCATCTATCAATCTACACTTTCCTCAAAACTGTTCTCTCTTCAAAGGGATTTTCATATTTTTATTGGAGCTAAACTTTCACATTGTGTCCTTTACCAGTTCCTTTTTGACTCAAATTATTTCTCCTCTACATCATAACCTATACATCTTTATTTTATCTTATCCACATCTTGATAATCTTTATTATTTGTAATATCCTAAAATGTCTTCCTTCTCACTAGCAAATTCCCATTTCTCATTCTCTCCCTTATGTTGAGAGTCAATATTAAAACATATAAGTGCCTAGTGTGCTTTTAAAACATTTTCATTGGCAAGACCTTGTCTCTACAATAAATAAAAAATTAGTTGGGCTTGTTAGCAAATGCTTGTGGTTTTGGCTACTTGGAAGACTGAGGTGGAAGGATCACCAGAGCCCAGCAGGTCGACACTGGGGTGGCCATGAGTGTACTACTGTACTCCATCCTGGGTGACAGAGTGAGACGCCAACTCAAAAAAAAAAAAAGACTTCCCACATTTGAGACATTCATCCCTCCAGTATAAATATTCCTGTATTGACTGAATGGTGAAAATTCAA